CGGGTGCAGCTGCTAATACAGTAGCGGGTGCAGCTGCTAATACAGTAGCAGGTGCAGCTGCTAATACAGTAGCAGGTGCAGCTGCTAATACGGTAGCAGGTGCAGCTGCTAATACTGTAGCGGGTACAGCTGCTAATACGGTAGCAGGTGCAGCTGCTAATACGGTAGCAGGTGCAGCTGCTAATACGGTAGCAGGTGCAGCTGCTAACACGGTAGCGGGTGCAGCTGCTAATACAGTAGCAGGTGCAGCTGCTAATACAGTAGCGGGCGCCGCTGCTAGTACAGTATTAGGTGCAGCTGCTAATACATTAGCAGGCACAGCTACTAACACGGTAGCAGGTGCAGCTGCTAATACAGTAGCGGGCGCAGCTGCTAATACAGTATTAGGTGCAGCTGCTAATACATTAGCAGGCGCAGCTGCTAATACAGTAGCAGGTGCAGCTGCTAATACGGTAGCAGGTGCAGCTGCTAACACTGTAGCTGGTGCAGCTGCTAATACGGTAGCGGGTGCAGCTGCTAATACGGTAGCGGGTGCAGCTGCTAATACGGTAGCGGGTGCAGCTGCTAATACGGTAGCGGGTGCAGCTGCTAATACGGTAGCAGGTGCAGCTGCTAATACGGTAGCAGGTGCAGCTGCTAATACGGTAGCAGGTGCAGCTGCTAACACGGTAGCAGGTGCAGCTGCTAACACGGTAGCAGGTGCAGCTGCTAATACTGCAGCTGGTGCAGCTGCTAATACAGTAGCGGGTGCAGCTGCTAATACAGTAGCAGGTGCAGCTGCTAATACAGTAGCGGGTGCAGCTGCTAATACAGTAGCGGGTGCAGCTGCTAATACAGTAGCAGGTGCAGCTGCTAATACAGTAGCGGGTGCAGCTGCTAATACAGTAGCAGGTGCAGCTGCTAATACAGTAGCAGGAGCAGCTGCTAATAGAGTAGCAGGTGCAGCTGCTAATACAGTAGCAGGTGCAGCTGCTAACACGGTAGCAGGTGCAGCTGCTAATACAGTAGCGGGTGCAGCTGCTAATACATTAGCGGGTGCAGCTGCTAACACGGTAGCAGGTGCAGCTGCTAATACAGTAGCAGGTGCAGCTGCTAATACAGTAGCAGGTGCAGCTGCTAACACGGTAGCAGGTGCAGCTGCTAATACAGTAGCAGGTGCAGCTGCTAATACAGTAGCAGGTGCAGCTGCTAACACGGTAGCAGGTGCAGCTGCTAATACATTAGCAGGCGCAGCTGCTAGTACAGTATTAGGTGCAGCTGCTAATACATTAGCAGGCGCAGCTGCTTACACGGTAGCAGGTGCAGCTGCTAATACAGTAGCGGGCGCAGCTGCTAATACAGTAGCAGGCGCAGCTGCTAACACGGTAGCAGGTGCAGCTGCTAATACATTAGCAGGCGCAGCTGCTAGTACAGTATTAGGTGCAGCTGCTAATACATTAGCAGGCGCAGCTGCTAACACGGTAGCAGGTGCAGCTGCTAATACGGTAGCGGGTGCAGCTGCTAATACAGTAGCGGGTGCAGCTGCTAACACTGTAGCGGGTGCAGCTGCTAATACAGTAGCGGGTGCAGCTGCTAATACAGTAGCGGGTGCAGCTGCTAATACAGTAGCGGGTGCAGCTGCTAATACAGTAGCAGGTGTAGCTGCTAATACAGTAGCAGGTGCAGCTGCTAATACAGTAGCGGGTGCAGCTGCTAATACAGTAGCGGGTGCAGCTGCTAATACAGTATCGGGTGCAGCTGCTAATACAGTAGCGGGTGCAGCTGCTAATACAGTAGCAGGTGCAGCTGCTAATATAGTAGCGGGTGCAGCTGCTAGTACAGTATTAGGTGCAGCTGTTAATACATTAGCAGGCGCAGCTGCTAACACGGTAGCAGGTGCAGCTGCTAATACAGTAGCGGGCGCAGCTGCTAATACATTAGCAGGCGCAGCTGCTAATACGGTAGCAGGTGCAGCTGCTAATACGGTAGCAGGTGCAGCTGCTAATACGGTAGCGGGTGCAGCTGCTAATACAGTAGCTGGTGCAGCTGCTAATACAGTAGTGGGTGCAGCTGCTAATACAGTAGCAGGTGCAGCTGCTAATACAGTAGCAGGTGCAGCTGCTAATACAGTAGCAGGTGCAGCTGCTAATACAGTAGCGGGTGCAGCTGCTAACACTGTAGCAGGTGCAGCTGCTAATACAGTAGCAGGTGCAGCTGCTAATACAGTAGCGGGTGCAGCTGCTAATACAGTAGTGGGTGCAGCTGCTAATACAGTAGCAGGTGCAGCTGCTAATACAGTAGCGGGTGCAGCTGCTAATACAGTAGCAGGTGCAGCTGCTAATACAGTAGCAGGTGCAGCTGCTAATACAGTAGCGGGCGCAGCTGCTAGTACAGTATTAGGTGCAGCTGCTAATACAGTAGCGGGTGCAGCTGCTAATACAGTAGCAGGTGCAGCTGCTAATACAGTAGCAGGTGCAGCTGCTAATACAGTAGCGGGCGCAGCTGCTAGTACAGTATTAGGTGCAGCTGCTAATACAGTAGTGGGTGCAGCTGCTAATACAGTAGCAGGTGCAGCTGCTAATACAGTAGCAGGTGCAGCTGCTAATACAGTAGCGGGTGCAGCTGCTAATACAGTAGCGGGTGCAGCTGCTAATACAGTAGCAGGTGCAGCTGCTAATACAGTAGCAGGTGCAGCTGCTAATACAGTAGCGGGCGCAGCTGCTAGTACAGTATTAGGTGCAGCTGTTAATACATTAGCAGGCGCAGCTGCTAACACGGTAGCAGGTGCAGCTGCTAATACAGTAGCGGGCGCAGCTGCTAATACAGTATTAGGTGCAGCTGCTAATACATTAGCAGGCGCAGCTGCTAATACGGTAGCAGGTGCAGCTGCTAATACGGTAGCAGGTGCAGCTGCTAATACGGTAGCGGGTGCAGCTGCTAATACAGTAGCTGGTGCAGCTGCTAATACAGTAGCGGGTGCAGCTGCTAATACAGTAGCAGGTGCAGCTGCTAATACAGTAGCAGGTGCAGCTGCTAATACAGTAGCAGGTGCAGCTGCTAATACAGTAGCGGGTGCAGCTGCTAACACTGTAGCAGGTGCAGCTGCTAATACAGTAGCAGGTGCAGCTGCTAATACAGTAGCGGGTGCAGCTGCTAATACAGTAGTGGGTGCAGCTGCTAATACAGTAGCAGGTGCAGCTGCTAATACAGTAGCAGGTGCAGCTGCTAATACAGTAGCGGGTGCAGCTGCTAATACAGTAGCGGGTGCAGCTGCTAATACAGTAGCGGGTGAAGCTGCTAATACAGTAGCAGGTGTTGCTGCTAATACAGTAGCGGGTGCAGCTGCTAATACAGTAGCGGGTGCAGCTGCTAATACAGTAGCAGGTGCAGCTGCTAATACAGTAGCAGGTGCAGCTGCTAATACAGTAGCGGGTGCAGCTGCTAATACAGTAGCGGGTGCAGCTGCTAATACAGTAGCGGGCGCAGCTGCTAATACAGTAGCAGGTGCAGCTGCTAATACGGTAGCAGGTGCAGCTGCTAATACAGTAGCTGGTGTAGCTGCATGTTTTTGCAATAAAAATGTTATGTTGTAATGGAATTCATGCATTAGTTTTTGTTTGCTTTGAACCCAGAGCAGACGTCACACGCCAGACGACATCAACACTGCATACTTTAGTATTTGTTCATTTATCGTGAGTAATATCGATATCGCAATATTAAGCACTGTTATCGAATATCGCAGGTTTTCCTAATATCGTGCAGCCCTAGTTTCAAAAATCCAAAACAGGGTTGTATGCAATCTGCTATTGTAGAATAATCTAGAACAGGTTTAACAGCGTGTCTGTTGTAGTTTTTGAGCTACAGCTGTTCCATCGTTGGCCAGATGCTGAAAAACCCCATAAATCAGGCTTTGTTGAAGTTTCACAAATCAGGGAAAGGATCACAAATCCTATACTGTTTAATTTGATCTGCTTTTATAGTAGAATATTCTAGAACAGGTCTGAATAGTGTGGGTGTTGTAGTTTTTGAGGTAGAGTAGATTAAATAAGGTCAGAGAAGAGAAAAATTGTGTGTAACGGCCCTTTAGCCGTTTCCCGAATCGGAGGTTTAAGGCCCAATGTGTGATATTTCATCTTATAAGTTATCAAATTTCTTGTATCACATTCTCAAATTTGTTTTTTTTAATGATAATTCAAACAAGCATTTATTCTAAGCATTATTATTAGCTTTATATTTTAATATTTTAGACAAAAGAAGCAGACCGGTGCTCCATATGGCATGCGCCATCTTAAAATACAGTGACCTTTTAGGGACATACAACATATTAAGCTTCGCATTTGATGTTTGCGTTTTTAAATGATGTAACCTCAAAGAAACAGCAGGGGGCAGAAGTGCGCCTTGTAAGCATGCAGTCTGACAAAGTAACTAAGAAGAAGAAGAAAATAGCCACACCGTACTTCTAGCGATGGAGGATCACACATATTCTACAAGCAAACTTGAGAAACGGGATAGTTTGAAAGCGCTTGAAAGCGCCGATCTTCTAGACTTTATTGCAGCTCTGCCTCTTCCTCTTGTGCGTGGAACGTTGCGGCTGGTTTGAGCAAATTCGGCTCCTTCATCTTGGGATGCTTGCCCTGCTTCTGTCGCATGTCTAACACCTCTGCCTCTCTGTGCGCTGGCACACGTCTGTCCTCTCCCTCTTCCTCTCCCTCTTCCTCGCCCTCTTCCTCTCCCTCGTCCTCTGTCTGTCTTCACTGATGAACCATCGGATGATATCTGACTCTGTTTACGGAGAGAAAACAATTACAGACTACACTACCTTGTATATTTCCAAAATGGCAAATAGAAATATAACATTTCTCAAATAAAATGAACAAAATATTGTCATTTTTTGTAGTCAGAAGTCATCACTAACTAGCTGCCGTTTGCTATTAGCAAACATAACTGACATTAAAAAGTTTTTCTTATTCAAAACCTATTTAGATTAAATTAATAAAATAAGTTAGATGAAAACAACTAACCTGTTCGCTGACTTGAAAGCTGGAATTAGATGATGACATGCTGCCGTTTACAGCAACACGATTTTGTATTGTATTTGTTATATTTGTTAATAAAGTTTTAAATAATGATTACAAAAACCCTTTTTGATCCTCGGGGGCTCCAAAAGCTGCAATACCGACTCTAAACTGCGTGGTGCTAAAGAGTCGGATCTTTTTACTATGATTTCTGTGAATTTCACACACGGGGCCTTTAACTTCAGCCTCGTTTAGTCGCGCTGCTCTTTAGCTGATGTGGGATTTATTTACTGGATGCTAACATCACATCACACTCACGGAGTAACACACACAGGCGCTCTGCTGCTACAGTCAGTGGAAGGTTATCATCTGGTGTAAAAAGGCGTTCATCACAATTCCCAGATCACGTTTTATTCCACGAAAATCGTCCGAATCCACATTAATCTGGGTGCTAGCTTTACTAGCATGTTGTGCTAGCTTTAGCAGGTGGGATGCTAATGCTAGCACGCTGCTAATGCCCGTAAATGAACGTGTACAGTAAAGTTAGCCGACATTTTAGAGTGATATGAAGCTTACCGCTCTGCTGCTGTGTCGAGCTGGGTCCAGCCAGCCGCGGGGCCTTTCTGCTGGGCTAAACTAGTTCGTGTCACACCGCCACGGCTCAACAAAAGCCACCACACCTATAAAACACACTTTTGTTGCCTTTTCTAAGAGATGCTAATGACTCCAACTTGTTTCCGTTTCGGATCTTTATTCCGGGTTACTGTTGGCCGCAGCCCACGTCTTAACTCCAGCAGAAACACCGTTAACGATCTCCGATCACACTAGCTCGTTTTCTTCTAAACAACCGAACCGGAACTCTGCACACAGCCGGCCAAGAACAGCCCTTCAACATAAAAGTCCAACCATTCCAATCCAATCCAATTTTATTTATAAAGCGCATTCAACAAGGCATTACAACCAAACAAGGCGCTGTACACTAAAAATGTTAGTTAGTTAGTCGAACACAGTTAAAAGATAAAAAGGAAATACAAAAAAATTCCCAAAACTAACAGCTAAAATTCAATAAGACACAGGGAGAATAAAAAATTAGAAAAACATTTTTAAAAATAACCTCAATAGTACGGAAGTTGATATTGTGAATTCCGAGAGCCACCATCCGTTATGCCATGCACATTGAGAACAAACTGAAGACTAAAGCTGATTTCAGATTTAATAATTTGTTTAACCCTCTGGAGGCAGGCGTTGCAGATTAGCAACGTAAAAACCTACCTACCTGGTTACTCCACATACGTACTTCATGAGCATTTTTAACTCAGAAGTTCCCCTGAAGGACTTAGTTGTTCGTCCTTTTAGCAAGACTTATTTTGAGCCTGAGAGGGTTAACACTAAAGTGACTTGTTTTAGTATGACGTTGCATTTTTGGTTCTTTTTAAAACACAGAAAAGGTTTTTTTTTTTTACCTTGCTGACAGTTTCGTTCGTGGCTGTAAACTTCCTCAGAGCTGTCTCTGATGGTGGCGTCACTTCCTACGCCGTTTATCCGCGGGCAGCAGAGGACGTTGTCGCCCACAGGTTTTTTTGTTGCCTTCACTATTTTTCAGCCTCATGTTCAGCTCTTTCAGAGTTTTGGGGCAACCGTCGCCATCCTTTTCCAGGTGTTCCCTCATCTGGTGGATTAAAAACAAAGTTTGTGCTGGACTGAATCCCTGGTTTGCTGCCAGGCTTGAAGTGGACGTTGAGGCCACGTTCTCTTTGGCTTTAAGGACGGGTAAAAACAATAGTTATGATGCTGCAAGAACATTTCACATTTATTATGTTAATAGTAACGTTTACTTCAGGAGCTTTACCCGACTCGTCAAAAACATCCTCCTCAGCCTCTATAAGGCTGGCCTCTATTGTGAGATCCTCATCCATGGAGCACGTGGGACTGCCCTGCCTCTGGAACGAGGGGCCAGGAAAGGGGAAACTCCTCTGTTCGTCTAGGAGCATTGCCATGTTTTTGTCCAAATAGACTGCAAAATCAACAAATGAAGATTAAAATGAAATACATTTGATACAATTAAAAATATTTAACGCAAAAATGTGGCCACAGGTAGAAAATAATGTAAACCATGATTAGGACTCTAAAATCAGACAGCCTAAAAATACAAATGTAATCCCTGAAAACTGAAATCTCAGTAGGCAGTTTGGAATCAAAGAGAGAAAAATAAAAAGCTATCTTTACGAGCTGTGTATCTTTTGCTTAGTGGGGGAGTGGGATAGCACACCTCCCAAGTAGCCATTGTTTGTATAACGTAGTTATAAGCTGTATGTTCGACATGCAAACAACCCTGTTAGATTGTTCAGCTTGGAGTTACAGGCGCTACATATAACACTGATTTTAGACGCACTCTCATAAGTGTGTCTTGTAAAATAAACACATTTCAATCAAAACTTACAGTTGTTGATACAGAGAGCTGCCATTTTGGATCTCGAAGTCGGGGTTGTGAAAATTTTCAGAGTTTCCGACTGGGAGGTCTGATGTGGGGGGGCGTTTCATTTGAATTTTCCTACTCGGAGGTGGGGATTTCTGAGTTCTGAGGACAAATCGAAAGCACAGTCAGCAGCAACAACCTGACTCCAGGTAGCAGCTGCAGCGGGTCAGCGCCACACTGATGCAGCTGCAGCGGTTCTTCTCCACACTGATGCAGCTGTAGCGGGTCAGCTCCACACTGATGCAGCTGCAGCGGTTCTTCTCCACACTGATGCAGCTGCAGCGGGTCAGCTCCACACTGATGCAGCTGCAGCGGTTCTTCTCCACACTGATGCAGCTGCAGCGGTTCGGCTCCACACTGATGCAGCTGCAGCGGTTCGGCTCCACACTGATGCAGCTGCAGCGGTTCTTCTCCACACTGATGCAGCTGCAGCGGTTCTTCTCCACACTGATGCAGCTGCAGCGGTTTGGCTCCACACTGATGCAGCTGCAGCGGTTCTTCTCCACACCGATGCAGCTGCAGCGGTTCAGCTCCACACTGATGCAGCTGCAGCAGTTCTTCTCCACACTGATGCAGCTACGGCGGTTCGGCTCCACACCGATGCAGCTGCAGCAGTTCTTCTCCACACTGATGCAGCTGCAGCGGTTCGGCTCCACACTGATGCAGCTGCAGCGGTTCTTCTCCACACTGATGCAGCTGCAGCGGTTCTTCTCCACACTGATGCAGCTGCAGCGGTTCTTCTCCACACTGATGCAGCTGCAGCGGTTCTTCTCCACACCGATGCAGCTGCAGCGGTTCAGCTCCACACTGATGCAGCTGCAGCAGTTCTTCTCCACACTGATGCAGCTACGGCGGTTCGGCTCCACACCGATGCAGCTGCAGCAGTTCTTCTCCACACTGATGCAGCTTTGGCGGTTCAGCTCCACACTGATGCAGCTACGGCGGTTCGGCTCCACACTGATGCAGCTGTAGCGGTTCTTCTCCACACTGATGCAGCTGTAGCGGTTCTTCTCCACACTGATGCAGCTGTAGCGGTTCGGCTCCACACTGATGCAGCTGCAGCGGTTCTTCTCCACACTGATGCAGCTGCAGCGGTTCTTCTCCACACTGATGCAGCTGCAGCGGTTCTTCTCCACACTGATGCAGCTGCAGTGGTTCTTCTCCACACGGTTGCAGCTGCAGCAGTTCTTCTCCACACGGTTGCAGCTGCAGCGGTTCTTCTCCATACTGATGCAACTGCAGCGGTTCTTCTCCACACTGATGCAGCTGCAGCGGTTCTTCTCCACACTGATGCAGCTACGGCGGTTCGGCTCCACACTGATGCAGCTGCAGCAGTTCTTCTCCACACTGATGCAGCTACGGCGGTTCGGCTCCACACTGATGCAGCTGTAGCGGTTCTTCTCCACACTGATGCAGCTGTAGCGGTTCTTCTCCACACTGATGCAGCTGTAGCGGTTCTTCTCCACACGGTTGCAGCTGCAGCGGTTCTTCTCCATACTGATGCAACTGCAGCGGTTCTTCTCCACACTGATGCAGCTGCAGCGGTTCTTCTCCACACTGTTGCAGCTGTAGCGGTTCGGCTCCACACTGATGCAGCTGCAGCGGTTCTTCTCCACACTGATGCAGCTGCAGCGGTTCGGCTCCACACTGATGCAGCTGCAGCGGTTCGGCTCCACACTGATGCAGCTGCAGCGGTTCTTCTCCACACTGATGCAGCTGCAGCGGTTCTTCTCCACACTGATGCAGCTGTAGCGGTTCGGCTCCACACTGATGCAGCTGCAGCGGTTCGGCTCCACACTGATGCAGCTGCAGCGGTTCGGCTCCACACTGATGCAGCTGCAGCGGTTCTTCTCCACACTGATGCAGCTGCAGCGGTTCTTCTCCACACTGATTCCAGGAGAGAGAGCAGCAGCTGTGATCAATCAGCTGATCAGCGGGTGGCCTTCATAAGGAGGACGGAGGACACTGCTAAGCTGCCGGATGATTACGCCTTACTGGTAGAGTTCCAGCCACAGTGTTACCTCGATTTTTGAAACTTTGACTTTGAACTTTAGAAACGTGTTTTTTCGCTAGCGACCTTCGGCTCAGATTATTTGTTCTCGTTTTGTCTCAGGCTCAGTCATCTTTCCATACACCACCTCCTCGCTGTGGGCTTTTGGATTTACAACCCGACCATACGACTTCTGGACTTCACTCCCGGTTCCCGTCCTCCTCACGGTAGGGATGCACCGATGGATCGGCATTTGATCGTAATCGGCCGATAGCGCCCCTATCGGTTTTGATCGGAATTTTCAAAATAGATCAGAGCAAACCGATAAGGTAGGGTTGTCACGGTAACCAGTGTAGCGCTAAACCCCAGTAAAAAAAAAAAAAAAGAAAAAAAGTTGACAATAATAACCGTCTTGTTTTTAAAAAAACTATATTGTCTTGGTGGGGTTACCGTGGCTGCGGTGTAGGCGCGGTGACCCTTACCAGCCACCGTATCATCTGCTGAAGTTGCCGGCGGCTCATGCGCGCTTTGTTTACAACAAAACTTTGTTGAAGCTAAAGCTGAAATAATGGTCAAAGGAGGAGACGGCAGCGCTCAGGAGGACATTTATTATCCCTCAAAGAAGACAAAGTCGGAAGTACGGGCATCTTTTAGATATTTGAAGAATGCTGAGGGAGTTTATGGAAGACGGACGGCTATCCTGTTTGCAGCACGAGCAGAAAAAGTGTCTGTGAAAGGCAGCAATGCTTCAAATCTCATGACACATCTGCGTGACCATCACCCACAACTCTACAGTCAACGCAAGGCAAGCTAACGTTAGCGTTTTAGCTAAAATGCGTGATCCAAGGATTTGGGTGGAGGGAGAATGCAACGAGTCGCTATATAAAGCAGCCGCAGCGCCGCTACCTGCATATAAACCGTGTCGCGGACACCGCCATGTTGAAATGACGCTATGCATTACGGGGCTCCCAGGGGCAGATAAGAGTTGGTCTCTCTCCGAGAATAATTATGAATTTAACAACGATTACTGCCTGATGACATTTTCCCACATCTGCAAAGCTCACTGGAAGGACACAAACCGAGGACAATATTTTCCTGATATAGTGTTTAGTACTCAAGTAAGGGTAAAAAAGTATCTGATTAGAAGGCTACTTGAGTACTGAGTATCATCTGATCTAATATTTTTAAAATGATGACATCAAACAGACATAAAATAAGAAGTTATGGGCAAATATTGGTATTTTAAAGACTGAAGGGGAAAATGTAAACAAATAAACAACTTAATTACAAAATAACACATTTTAGGCAAAATTTAGACACAAACTGAGGACAATATTTCCTGACATACAGGGTTTATTTAATTGTGTGAAAATGTAGCACGTTTAAAAAAAAATACCACGATAATACCGAAAACCGTGGTAATTTTGGTCACAATAACCGTGAGGTTAAATTTTCACACCGTGACAACCCTAACCCCCAAATTCCACTACCTCCGCTCCGCTCCGACACGAACGCCGGAGCAAAATCGGTCCCGTTGTAGTCAATCAGAGCAATTCCACTACTGCGGCCGTGCTCCGGCAGTGCGGCGCCGTGCGCCGCCCTCTGTTCCGGCGTCCGGCAAAAATAGAATCGGTCCTATTTTCGCCGGACGCCGGAGCACCTCCGCAGTAAATGGACAGAAATCACAACGGCCCAACAGGAAAAGGAGCAAGCACAATTTCCGTTTTTCACAATACATCGATAAACAAAAGGCGTTTTTTGTTTCATATGCACAGGTTTAACAACTTTTAACAACTATCAATGGCGGCTGAAGTTTAAATGCACAAAAGTAAGCCATAAATACAGTTTCCACTATCAAAGTAGTCACACTTTGTTGATCCAAACACTGCTGATCTCTCAACACAAATGATGGGCAGATTAAACAGTTCATGCCGATGCTTCTCCCACACAACGGGTGTTTGGATCTAACTTCCGCGTTTATTGCTCGGACTGTATCGCAAGATCTCGAAAATCCCGCGCATGCTTGTTTGTCCCCCTCAGGTCTCCGCACCGGAGCGGAGCCGTTGTAGAGCGGGTACCAGTAAAAATTGAATTCGGAAGCGAGTGGCTGCGGAAGGCGGGGGCGGAGCGGAGGTAGTGGAATTTGGGGGTCATACAGACCATTTTAGATTAGGTTACATTTCCTTTATTCCCAGATTATGTAGTTTGTAGCACTCATTATAATGTTGTAGAAAATTTCTGGCCAATGAACGTGATCGGTATCGGTGATCGGTATCGGTGATCAGCATTCTTTGATATCGGTATCGGTGATCGGCAGCAAAAAACCTGATCGGTGCATCCCTACCTCACGGTACTAACTGCCCCCAGCACTACTGGCTCTCTCTCTCCTCCCCTCTGGTTGGAAAACCCCGCCGCTCATCATCATCCCGGAACACTCATTCACTCTCCCAGCTCACCCCTTCCTGGAGATCCTCCACCACGCTACGTCTGTAAGTCCTCCTACCAAGCTCATCCTCTACCGTACTATATTATCAATCAAGGACTCACCTCTGCTTCTCTTCCCTCAGACGCTGCTCCCGTTTGTCCATTCACTGGGTTTCCAGTTCACCCTGAGTTCTAATTAACCAATAAATCTTTATTTTACACATCCTGCTCCAGTGTATTGATTCTGCATGTCTTGGGTTAAATCATTACCTCAGAACATGACAGTCGTGGTTGTCTATCTGTCATCGCCTCTCTCTACGATCCACTCGGATTCATCGCTCCTTTCAGCCTAAGTGGAAAACATATCCTTCAAGAGCTTTGTCACAGAGGCATCGGATGGGATGCCCCACTCCCAGAAGATGTGAAGCCACGGTGGGAGGAATGGATGAACGGTCATCTCAAGTTAAAAGAGGTCTCAGTTCCGAGATGTTACCACCCACATGACATTGTCAGAGTAGAGTTACACCATTTCTCAGATGCCAGCTGCATGGGATATGGTGCATGTTCTTACCTCAGGTACAAAAATGACAAGGATGAAGTCCATTGCAGTCTTGTGATGGTGAAAGCAATGGTCGCACCCTCAAAGGTCACAAGTATCCCGAGGCTAGAACTCGCAGCAGCTCTGATTTTGGCAAAGGTCCGTGTCGTGTTAAAATGTAAACTTGACATGAAAATTGATCAAGAATTCTTCTGGACTGATTCGCAAGTCGTGCTTGGGTACATCAACAATGATGCTCGCAGGTTCCACATATTTGTTGCAAACCGTGTTCAACTGATTAGAGATAACAGTGATCTAATCAATGGCATTATGTGGACACCTCAGAAAACCCGACCGACCATGCATCTTGAGGTCTTCGTGCTTCAGACATTCACTCAACGAACTGGCTGCGAGGACCAAAGTTTCTCTGGGAGCGTGAATTACATCTAATGCCCAGCACTTCAACAGACTTACTCGTCGGTGATCCTGAAGTCAAAACAATTCAAGTGCTTGCAGCTGAAACCAATAACTGCAATGACATCCTCAGGCATCCAAGTCAGTTTTCATCATGGACAACACTTGTAGAGGTAGTTGCAAGAATCAAGAGACTGAGGTCTAAACAAACACAACATAGTGAACATGTGACTGTAGAGGAGCTTGAGAGAGCTGCTGAGTCAGTATTAAAATCGTACAGCAGTAAGCCTTCTCCCATGAGATAAAAATGCTTCAAGGTGGAAAAGACCTTTCAAACTCAAGCTCTCTCTTCAGTCTTGATCCCTTCTGGTCTGAAGGACTTCTCCGCGTTGGTGGGAGATTAAAACAGTCATCTCTCTGTCACGAAGTCAAGCACCCAGTCATCCTACCAAACAACAGTCATGTTACTAAGCTGATTGTGTCCCACTACCACGCTAAGACACACCATCAGGGTCAAAGTCAGACACAAATGGAGCTTAGGACCAATGGATTTTGGATCATTCGTGGGAACAAGCTGGTTGCTAATCTTAGGTGTGTTCTTGCTGTGTCTTTCTAAATCCATTCTTTCGTTCTTTTTTAAACACAGAAACAGTTTTTGTTTACCTGTTTGTAGCTACAGTTTCGCCGACAGCTGCCGGCTGATACGCACCTGTGTGCTTTGCAGGAAACTTCGACGGCCGACAGAGAACCAGCGGATGGCTGAACTACCTAAAGAACGTCTTGAAGCCTCAGCACCTTTTACGTATAGCGGCATGGACTGTTTTGGCCCATTCATTGTAAAGAAAGCCCACAAAGAATACAAAAGATATGGCCTAATTTTCACATGTCTGCACTCTAGAGCTGTCCATATCGAGATGCTCGAAGATTTGACGACAGACTCATTCATCAATGCATTGAGATGCTTTATCAGCCTCAGAGGAGCTGTTCGACAACTACATTGTGACCAAGGTTCTAACTTCATTGGTGCCAGAAATGAGTTTAAGGAAGCACTTAAACAATGTGACTCCAAACTACTTGAAATCTTCCTGACTGAGAGGCAGTGCGAATTTGTCTTTAACACCCCTTCTGCCAGCCATGCAGGCGGTGTCTGGGAACGGCAGATCAGAACCATTAGAAATGTGCTAAATGCCACCTTTGCACAGTGCCCAGGTCGACTTGATGATGCCTCTCTCAGAACACTGTTATATGAAGCCATGGCCATCGTTAACAGCGGCCCATTAACAGTCGATGGAATCAATGATCCACAAGCGCTGGAACCTTTAACACATAATCACCTCATCATGATGAAATCTAAAGTTGCTCTTCCTCCCCCTGGAGTATTTGTCAAGGAAGATTTGTACGCTACAAAGAGATGGAGGAGAGTTCAGTATATCATTGAACAATTCTGGGGTCGCTGGAAAAGGGAGTATCTACTCAACATATCCACAAGACAAAAATGGCACTTACCTCAGCGCAACCTCAGAGTCAAAGATATTGTCATCATTAAAGACGACAACTTCCCAAGAAATCAATGGCCACTAGGACGAGTGGTGGAGACTGTTCAAGACAGCGATGGCTTAGTCCGTTGAGTCAAAGTGCAAGTAGGAGGGCGAAAGCCTCAAAGAAAACAAGATCCCCCCTCCAAACCTTCAGTTATTGAGAGACCAATCCAAAAATTAGTGCTTCTCCTTGAGAACTGAGTAGAACAGACAGTGACAACTGTTTGTGTGCACACGGCTTCATTGTGTATGTTGTACAGTTCAGCTACATACTTCTGATGGTTCAACTTAAGGTTTTCATTTATTAGAGTCAAGAAATCCTACACAATTCACTTGCTCTTTGTGTACTTGTTCATTCATTGTAGTAGGATTTGGTGGGAGTGTAAATGGCAGCAAATTATGTTTGCGGTAAACAAAGCAGTTCTGTCACTTTACGTTTTGTGCTTTTATTTTGAAGAGCACCCCTCTTCTTCTACTACTTCCTGTTGTATACGCTAAACTTCCTGCTCCCGGCTCATCATAACGACATGCACAAGTTGCTCCAGAGTTGGTAAAACATGCAAATATATTATTTATTTGTCATATTCTACATGGAAACTTGTGAAAGGGTATTTTACAGTGGTTTGCTTCATGTTTGTGCCGTTTGTAGGTCATGTTTAAGGGACATCACTGTGAGGTGTGGAAGATAGGCCGCTAGCAGGCTGAGCTCAAACTTTGCGCCCTTGGAAGCAGAAGGAGGTAGGGGGAGACTGATGGTGTATTCAGTGTGAAACGAGTTGTTCATTCAGTGAGTTTGTGGCCGCTGTGCAGGGGGAGGGGGGAGAGGGCTGAAGCAGAAACTACCGTTGTTAAAAGAGATGTGTTAACTTAGAAAATGTGGGCGCAATTTTAATTGTCAAAAACTCCAGCGAACCTACCGACCCCCCCCCCCCCCCCGTGCCGCTTCAGGTGTATGACGTCATCAACGACTAGTCGAAGTCGACTCGATTTTCATTACTTGACTGTCGACTTTAAAAAAAATTAAGTCATGCAGCCCCTGCTACTGCTCCCCAGTGTTCTGCAGCATAATCAGCACATTCTCTTTTCGCCTCGTCTTCGTCTCCGCACGGTTTAAGTTACCCTCACGGTCTATCACTGGCAAATCAAAAGTCCTAGTAAGTGCAGATGTCCTAGCACTTTTGTTTCCCAAAGCTCGTATTTGGTCTCGTCTCCGTCGAACATAAATCGAGGCAGCCTGCTTGCTCCTCCCTGATCCATGTTGCTGCTTTAGCCGTTAGCCCTTCGTCTCAATGAGGCTTTCTGGATCCTTCAGATAAGAAAAAAAACGGCTCCTAGGCCCATAACCTGTTGAGCGTTGCAGCATCAATCGCGTATGAACTCGAGGAAAGAGAGATGGGATCAAAAGTGCTTTCTTCTTGTGTCTTTTATTTAGAACTGCAACACACACATCTGAACGTCCACACCGGAGACTCCATTCTTCTCAAGTAAGCGTTACGTAATGACGCAGTGTGCGTGCCCCCCTAGTGGTGAACAACTAAAAGCACAACCTTCTCAATAACACTTCAGTTTACACAGCTTAGAACATGAGTGAACAAGTTTGAACATCTCAACACCTGTTTTTATACAATGTTCACAGATTTCAGTTTTTTGCTATTTAGGATGATTTTTCTCCATTCTTCACTTACTTTTTGCTTCAACATCTTTCATGGTGAGGAGACACCGTTAGTTCTAGTAACACCTGGGCTCCCAAGGCCTATACTGATAGGATGGATGTTACGGGACCCTTAAGGATTCCAGTTGGACGATTGGAGGATTATTTAGGAGGATTGGAATGAACAAACTGATTTCAGTGGTGAAGGGTTAAATGAGTGGGTGAACCCACTACCAAGGATGAACTCTGCTAACTTTAAAACTCAGCTGCTCTAAATAAGCATGAAGGTCAGAGAGGAGCTCTAGGATGGACATGGATAAAGGAACTGTAATGTAGAGGTAAAGTAGGGCAGGGCCGACGTTAGCAGCTGTCATACGCTCCATCTGACATGTCTGACTTTCATTTAGCTTGTTATATGACGGGTTAGAGCACAGTCTCATGTTAGAGTTTTGTCATGAGAACATTGAGATACCTCACATGCTGATGGTGTCTAAAAATACATTTTTTCTTTCTCAAAATAAAGAATAATTTTAATCACAATCCTAGAAGAACCTCGTCCAATCAATGTGCACGTGCAGTTCTCACTGATTGGATAAAAAGCGTGTTGTGAACTGGCGTTGTGATTTTTCACTACTTAGATGTAGCCATCCTTACACTGACAAAAATGTAACCAAGTATCTTTTACTTTGAGTATATTTTATTTAAGATACTTTTTACTTTTACTTGAGTAAAACTTTAGGCAAGTACTTTTACTTTTACTTGAGTAAAACATTATCAAAGTATTGGTACTCTTATTTAACGGTATAGCAATCAATGTTTTTCTTCCGGGTGGATCACGTCAACCATTGGTCCGCAATAATGTAAATTTCTGGTGAAGCCAACCCTGGGTTAGTTTTCACTTCCTGCGCATGCGTACTCTCTGCACCCCCCGCACTCTCATGGAAATCAGGAAGAGGATAACGCGGTCCAGTCCGCTCTCCACAGACGCCGCTGTTGCCGGTTTTCTGCTCGAGAGGTACGCTAACGTTCTGCATGCTGTTTTTAGAGCCTCTTATTACACATTACGGCCGACAGCTACTTGTAAACAGGCGCTGGGAGAGTGTTGCGCAACGTGGAGAGGGCAGTTCTTTCTTGATATTCAGAAACATCGATTGCTATACCTTTAAGTAGGAAGTTGTAGTACTCTTTCCACCTCAGGTTGCACCTCAGACATTACAAAAACAGAAAGAATGGAAAAAAGAAGCTGGATTAGTTGGTACCATTGCCGGTGGATGAACCTTCCTTGGTTTGGGAGTGAAGCAGCTAGACCGATGGAAGTGGCGGGTTTTGTCCAGTTTGCTGAGCGCCACATGAAGCTAACCTGCTTTTGCTACCTTTCCATCCGATGCTTGCCCTGCTAGCGTTAAACAGCAAAGTAAAACCTTCTAACTTGTACATGAACTTTTTCTATATGTCACAGTGAAACTTGGATTTGTAATTACAGAAAGTAAAATGTTATGTGTAGATGTGCGAGGGAGAGCCGCTACACCGTGCAGTGGAGCTAGATCAGGGGTGGGCAATTATTTTTTCCATGGGGCCACATGAGAAACAGAAAATATTGTGGAGGGCCAGGCCAAAAGGCTGAAGTCAATTATGCATAATATTAATGGTATTTCTTTATAAAAAGCAGTAAATACCATCGTTTTTTCAAGCTGG